ACACTGTAAATTACATGGTATTCGCGTGTTGCGCACGTAATTACCCCCCTCCCCCCCCCACCTCCTTGCCAACCCAAATCCCAAAAGTGGCACGCCTACCACGGCGGCGAAAAGCTCGAAGGCCAAAAACAACAGCTACTGTAAAGCCTACGCTAAGGCCACCCCAGGGAATCTCGGAAATTTCGATGGTTGATTACTAGGTCGGCCCCTAAAACCCATTGAAAAATATGAGTATATAGGGTCCCTTATTAAAGCTTTTAGGGAAAATCTCAAATATCCCAGGGGCCTACCCAGATTACAGCTGTTGACGTTGCCCATCTCACAAACCTACAGCAACTCGGGACCAAACTCGCGCCTCTCTGATATGAGCTATAGTCTAAACTCCTGGTATCCCCCTTAATAATGGAGAGTCAAATGAAAAAGAAAATGGAAAATGAAATGGAAACTGGGATTATATAGGGGATTATAGGGGGTTGTAGTCTAAACTCCTAGTATCCCCGTCAATAACCCCTATAGTAGTCCCCTATATAATCCCCTATATAACCCCCTTTAAGGAGTTTATTTAGATTGTGGCTCATATGGGCACGGCGAAGGTGCTTGCTACACTGTCTTGCATGCAAGGCCAAGCTGCTGTGGTCAAAGGGAAATGGCTGGCCCCACATCTGTTCGGACTGGTAAAACCTGAGATGCGGTGGATACTAAACATCCTGCATGACCCTAAGTACCTTATACTCTGGAATTTGCTGACTTTAGGAAAGGAAAGACCTACAGGTTTTTGATATCACCATGAACATGGTCAGAAGCATCATTGTGAGCATGCCACAAGGAAAATGCTCTAGTCCTCCCACCCCAAGGAAACATGTCAGCTTCAAAAAATCTGGGTACGATTTAACCGTAAACCTCGCATTTCCCTGCGGACTCTTATGGGTCCCCAGGAAACCCCATAACTCCTTCACTGTCAAGAAACCCCTATTTTACTCTGCGGACAAGAGCCGCCTCCCACAGCTGCTTCTGCAAGCAAACGTATAAGTGCCCTCAAAATACTTGCAACTACCTTTAACTAGGAGTTTCAATAAACAGGGGTCCCGCATTATAGATCCCAACATGTTATAACCCTTGTTATCTCACATTGTGTTGTTATCATCATTGTTATTACAAGCCCTAAGCCCTGAACCCTGAAAATAACCGCGTGCTCAGTTTGAGCAAGGGACGGGCTGACTTTCACACGATAGCCAGGCTCCTTATGAAGATTCCATTTAGCATCTGGGGTTTTCCCTGGGGTTATTCGGTTTAGATAGGGTGATACAGGGTTAGACAGGCCTGTGCAGGGATAGATAGGGATACTTCAGGATTTACATTGTTTAGGTTTTCCTCAAAAATCAGGGGTACCTTTTTGGGGGGCTCAATTATAATGAGGATTAGAGCCTAGTACGGTCAATGTTGGGGTCTCCAAGTTCATGGAAGCTGCCAGTGATTCTAGGAGACTAGGAAGCATGTAGGCCCCAGCAATTTATATTTTCTGGAAATAGTTCTTCTTGTAAGGGAACTACATGCCTGAGTAAAGATGTCCTGGGCATTGCTTGCCATCTGAAGTGGCAAGGCTCAAGAGGCATGCGGCATGCTGTAAGATTGGAGGTTGCTATGAGGCAGGTTCACTTGGCACATGATTTGTCATGTGTAATTTGCCACTCACAAAACACTCCGCTTTTTGATCCTATGTTGCCAAGAACAGCACTACTTGGGCTCACTTGCCGAATATGAAGAATAATGGTATATGAATATTGGCTATGATTTAATGACTATGAATGTTAATAATAATGGTATTAATATTAGCTATAGTATAATAATGGCATATGAATAGTGGCCATAATTTAATGACTCTTAATGTTAATAATAGTGGTATTACTATTAGCTATAATATAACTAAAGCCGAACTGAGGGCAGATCGATGCCATAGTCTTGCAGAGTCAGCTCACGTCCCTGCACTCGAGGCCGCAGGACAAACCTTTGCAAAGGCCGGGAAGGTAGGTGCGCAGCAGTTTTAACTCTAGGTTCCCCAGTAAAGCCTAAATAATAAGGGTACACTTTTTCCTACTGTTCTGCTTTAATAGGGAGACAGCGGGAGACCCCCAAATGAGAAGGGTAAAAGGGTGCTACTGGGGTACCTAGAACTATCAATATCAGTTGTGTCAATGAAGGCCGGGATTAGGCCACAGCTTCAGGTATATCCCCACATAACCCCTATATATATATATATGGGGGATTGTCAAAATTATGGTCCCTTTTTGGGTCCCCTAAATTAGGCCCGGTAGTATAATAGGGACCTAAAAAGGGACCATAGTTTTGACAATCCCCCATATACAATCATCCTTTGAACAGATGCCATTTGGTTTCTCTCCAGGTAAAACCAGGAAGCCGGTCAAACCAGAGGTATTTCTGCGAGTAGTTGCCCCGAAGCGGCTTGCGCCTGCACACAAGAGAGATTGATAAGGTTGCTGTTCATAACTTGGGTATTGCCCCCACCCAGTAACAGTCTATATTAGGGGTCCTATAAATACAGAACATGTTGGAGTCTGATTCTGCTTTCGGCTGCTGTCCGCTCTCAGGCTACCTTGCAGTTGCTAACTAGCTCGCCTTTGTGTACATGGCCTCTCAAACAGGACCTGCATTAATACCTGCAAAGAGGTCCCTTGCAAACGGAAAGTAGACGACCCTCATCCGTGGTCGAAGGCAGAACTGCCCTGCAAAGACCGCAGCCACACGGTTTAGGGTTTAGGGTTAGGGTTTCAGGTCATAACAAACAACCTACAAGGCTCCTGCCCTGACATCCAAACCCTCAGGTCTCTAGACTGCCTGTATTCAGCGTCCAGCCGCCGAACTTCTGACATCAGGTGGTCATGGAGTTGCTCTACCTGATGGTGTAGGATGGATGGTGGGGACTTGGAGCTTAGATTCTAGGTTTAGGCGCCGCTCTCAATGAAGGATTTTTCCAAAGCATGGGCCCCCTTGTGGGTCCTAGTTTTGATGACAGTCATGTTCAAGGGATACAGGAAAAATCAACAGGTTCTGAATTACCGCAACGGGAACCATCACTTGATGGGGGATGGAGGGCGCGGGTGCTGGGAGAAGGACTGTCAAGGCTCCACGAGACAGCTATTTGTATCAAATACAAAGCATAGCTTTTTTTGTTGTGTTAGCACCGCATTTCCATATTTACGTGCTAGCGCTACTCTTCTTACTGTTGCAAATGTTTTCATGCTATACCCCAAACCCCAAACCCTGAACCTAAGCCCTAAACCCTTGACCCGCTCCACAGCCGAAGCTCCGTCCATGTGTCCTCGACCCACGTCAACTGCATCTCAAACCTTGGCTGTCTATCAAGTGCTTCATATGGGCTCTTGGGGGTCCCCATGATAAGGATTAGAGTAGATTGGTCTATAGTGAGGTACCTGTATTTACGCAAGCTATCAGGGCTGAACTTTTGAGTTCCTCCTAGACCATTTTGGAATAGTAAGGCTTTCATTGCTGGATGTTGGTGTCCCTGAAACCGAACCCGTCAGTGTTAGAAACTCGTACAAGGCGTGTCTCTCTCTCTCTCTTTCTTTCATTCGGGCTCTGGGAGGACCCCGGTTGGGTCCTCCCGGGCAGCCTGCCCAGCCCTGGTAGGGCTGATCTGCTGGTGAAAAGAACCATTCAAGGAGAAAAGAGACCTTATGTCATGGACAAAATTCGTGGCCCAAAAATAGTAGATTAAGGACTCAGCCACTTTTCTCGTATGCGTACACATGGTAGGTGCCACCATGTTTGCCAAGTGTTAGCACCAAGGAGAGTTGAAAAGAGAGTGTCAGTTAGCAAACGTGTGAGTTGGCTCGTTGTGTGTGTGTGTCTCTCTCTCTCTCTCTCTCTCTCTCTCAGGTGTAATATATTCCTTGTTATAGTATAGTAGTTTCCATTTTCTTTTCCATTATCCCTATATAACCCCAAGATTACCTCTATCTGATTTCCCACTAAACCCTAAACGCTAAACTCTAGTATAATGCAAACTCCTCGCTCTGGCTTGGCAATGCGAGGGACAAGCGTGTTCCTAGCCACGTTTGCCTTGATCATGCAATCATGATCAGCCAAGCTGAGGAGGAAATCATGTTAGGTTTAGGGTTTAGGAGCTAGGGGCAAATGTTATAGGGGTAATATTGGGGTTATATTGAGATAATGGAACAGAAAATGGAAACTAATGGGATAATAGGGAATATATTGGGGTTATAGGGATAATGGAAAGGAAAATGGAAAGTACCACATAAAAATGAACTTCAAGAATCTCTAAGGGGCTGCTTTTTGGGAAGAGCCAGGGGCAAGCCATGAGTTTGAGAAGCCGAACAGTATAAGGAATGATCACAAAAGAAGTAGCAGCTGGAGGAAAAGGAGCTCGTGATAGGGAGATGTAGCCTACTTGTATTTGCAGTGCTCAAGGATCATCTGAACAAGAGTAGTTCATCGTAAGTGTGACCGTCACGATGAGACCAGAGGGGCTACGGCCCAGCTGTGGCCATGCAAGATACGGATGATGACCATATCTTACTGGGGTTTGTAGGGAATGAAGGAATGTACTATATAGGGATTATATAGGGATTCTATTAGCTTATTCCCTACTTGCCACCAGTAGGATATGGGAGGAACCCTTCTAAACAAAACCATATGAAGCCACCAATCAACAAGCCCGAGTAGCTGTAGAGTCTCTGGGTGGTCGAAACCCAGCATCATCCTTGGCCGTTTGGGGTTTAGGGTTTAGGCTCATAGTAATCATTAGTACTAATTACAATACTAAAGGTAGAAATAATAAGAATAAAAAAATAGTAGTAATGGACTACTAATAATGATACGAATTACAAATAATGATAACATTAATCATAGTCATGAATGATAATGCATACTAATACGAAACAAACACAGGGTAACATGAGGCCTTTGTGCCAGGCCTACACAGGGACATTCGTCTGAATACGGGCTGTATGAGAGCTGCTTACGGGCTATGCGGGTGCCCCACTCCCTTTGGCTTCTACAGGTTTAGGGTTTAGGGTAGTACTTAGGTGGACCCCCCACCCAGTAATAGTGACTATAGGGGATAATAGGGATTATATTAGGGTCCTCTTATATCCTATTATATCACTATTACAGGGTGGGGGGTCCTCCTAAGGTACTACGACTTTCTGTTTTTTTGTTCCGTAACATGCCCTTTCTTGTCTTGGTGGCCCTGCAAGACGGTTTTCAGCTCCAGAGCATGCTGAGCGTAGTCTAGCTTAGGAGGACCCCCCACCCTGTAATAGTGGTATAATAGGAGTATAAGAGGACTCTAATATCATCCTTACTAGTCCTTATAGTCACTATGACTGGGTGGGGGGTCTACCTAAAGTCTAGCAGCAGCTTCCACAACAAGCAGAACAATAAGGAGACTAGCGCACGCAGGTTGTTGGTTCTCAAGATTAAGGGTAGGGCTTATGTAGGGATTATACCGGGGTTATATTGGGATAATGGAAAACAAAATGGAAACTACTATAGTGGGTTATCCAACAAAGAACCTGCTATGCATTTACCCCAGAGTAGAGGCTTCCAAATCCGTATGTTTACGTATCGAAGGATCTTGGCTTATGGTCGCGAGCCGGACAACGAATATATCTATATCTATGTATATATATATACTGACCAATTGCACTGAGGAACCCTATCTGCACTCACCAGAAAAAACAATGTTTCAAGTCAAGCTTCTTCTGTGTTTTGCCCTCCACGGCCTTGTAGGCCTCTTCCTGTCAATCGAGGGTGGAGAGGATGGGTGCGGGGTTGAGGTTTGTGGTGGACCTTACACTTTGATCTTAGCCTTAGGCTTTGGAATCTTCTTCCTCTCCGTCTTTCGTAGCTACTTCGATGGCCACCACAAAGTCAACATTCCCTTTGGTGTTGGATGCAAAAGCCAAACCAGACCAAATGACCGGCCTATTGCAATGGGTGTACCAGGGTTGCTCAGGCAGTCTTTCCCTCCGTACCAGCAGCAGCACCACCACCGCCACCACCGCCACCACCCGCCCCATCCTTCCCATCACGCCTCATCGAATCATTTGCAGCGAGACACGAGGGTTCTGCTGGATACATGAGGCTTACACAGGCATTGCATGTAGGGCTGCAGCGGACATCTGATGCAAAATCATGGTACTGGAATGAAGGGCCAGTATACGAGAATGATATAGGAATGAAGGATTGTCGGGGGATGATCTTCCCAACTTTTCAGGCCTCCACAATTTATATACTCTCTATGCTTCCATAGCCCCTATATAACGCCTTTGAAATCCCTGTACAATGGACCCGTACGAGCTATAGTCTTAACTCCTAGTATCCCCCTTAATCCCTATAATGCTCCCCTGTATAATACCCTATATAACCCCTTAAGGAGTTTACACTACAGCCCATAACAATCTCAGAACCCAACGCCGGCCTGCACCCTGGGTCTGCGACGCTCCTCTGCCTCCCGGAGTTTCCGCTCGTAGCTCTTTGGCATGGCTGGCGACAGAGAGGTGGCTGAACCCTTAAGAATCGGTTTAGGGTTTAGCGGTTTAAGTTTAGCGCTTTAAGAGTTTAGGGTCTAGGGTTTTGGGTACTGTAGCAGGAAACAACAATATTAATGCCAGTCATTGTAAGTGTAATATCTGGTTGCTAGTGCTGAGGAATGCAAGTGAGCATGTTGGTAAAGAAAATCGTCATGTTATCTACCCGGGCGCGTCTGACAACACTTCGTCCATCATAAGCGCTGTAGCTTCGAAAAAACTGACATTAATCAGGGTGTTACTGCATGGGGTTTAGGGTTGTAGTATCATTGTAATGGCATGCAAGTAAGATTGGGGCAAAATGCATAGGTCAAGATGTTTGAAGCTTAAGCCAGACAATACAAGATGCGAGAGCAAAGATGAACAGATTAGGGCAACCGTACTCGGCGGAGCAGGCTTCTGCCAGCTGCATTGCAGAATCGCTGAGTACTCGTATTACCAAATATGTAGCAACGTGCACTTATTCATTGTGGCGGCGTACAACACCAAATGCTCATACTCATGCTGCGTGTTGTTTTTCGGCATTCTCTCACGGAGGTTGTGCCATGTCAGCGCGGCCTGGCATCAGACGGTCACAAGGTCTGGATAAAAGGGCTTCAGAGCTTGGCAAATAAAGAGAGAGAGAGGGATAATGGCGCACGAGATGTAGCGGGCGCGAGGGCTCGTACACTCTTTTGGGCATCTTGTTTGCCCCTTCTTCACAGGCACGTACGCACAATAAGACAATAGGCAGATTGCAACTAGGTAGCACTGGTTGTTTCTTCTGTCATTCGCATTGACAGTGCAAAATAGTAGTTTCCCGAAATAGGGGGGCCCCAATATAGCTCCAAAACACTCTTATCCATAGGGATCCCTGCAAAAGGTCCCCCTAAATCTGGGAAACCGCCAAATGGTTAAATGGCCTGAATGCCGCCACTCCCCTCGCGAGTTCGCGCCCGATGGGAGATGGCAACCAGGGATGTAGATAAGGAGGCATGCTCGAAAGGCTTTAGGTCATGTAGGTGGTACCCAAAATTGGCGTCCAATTTTGGTACCCTGAAATATCAGATGCCGATATATAATCTACAACCACAAGGCGCCCATAATTTTGAGAACAGCCCACATGACCGAGTAGCCTGGAGTAGAGGAGGAAGGATCATGCAAAGTATGGATTACTGTCTTTCGTGCAAACATGGGTTGAGGGTTTAGAGTTTTGGGTTTGGGGTTGAGTCGAGGGTTTGGGATTAAGGGTTGTTGAGATGCAAACTCGTGATGGAAGTATTTATCAGAGGCCTCTTTCACGTCGTCATCGTATCGTCATTAGTTAAGCATAGTATGGGGGACTCCCAATTTTGGGAGACTCCATGTTGCTTCCTTCCTCCCTCTCGAATGTCGAGCTAAAAGACCACGGCAAAAAGTCCGATTCAGGATCCTGGCCGTCTCTGTCCAAAAACTTGCATCTAGAGTTGAAAATATGGGCACTTAATCTTGGGCTAATATGCATGTTTTGTGATTACAGAAAACAGAATGTGTATATATACATATATCTATACACATACATATGCGTGCACGCATCTGCTAGTGGCCCTTGGTTCCAACCCAAATCCTTGAGGGGGTGAGAAGGACTTCCCCAGAATTTGCCAGCCAGGTGGGCTTCATCCAGCAGTTGCTCACGCTGTTTTGAAACCTGTTCATGATACTGGTACCACATTCTCCACCTACTATAATGGAGAATCAAATGGAAAAGGAAATGGAAAATTAAATGGAAACTGGGATTATATCGGGGATTATATACATGGTACATCTTCCTGGGAAAATATCACACTTCAAAATTTCTGGCTCGAGCCCCCGAGCATCCCTAAGCCCTATACCGCGATAACTTTGAGGACCTCCCAAACTTGCAGCCCCTAAACCCTAAACCCCCTAAACCCTAAACCGCAAGCCAGCCCATGCTCTGTGCCATGATGATCTTTCAATCCCCGAACCCTAAACCCTAATCCCTAAACCCTGAACCCTAATCCCAAACCAAACCCCCAAACCCCCAATATCCTAAATTTCTGGCCTGAAGCTTAAACTTAGAGCCTACACTGTGAACTTGCAGTCCACATCTAAGGAGTTCAGGGCTAAAACCCTATAGGGGGTAGATTGGGGTACCTTTAAAGGGGTATATAGGGGGGAAATTGGGGTACCTTTAAAAAAGTATATAGGGGGTATATAGGGTTGTATGAGCATAATATGGAAAATTCAATGGAAACTCTGAAGCCCTACAGTCTCCGTAAAACCTGTATATGAACACAGTTTCCATTTCTTGCTGCATCTTCTTTGCCATGTGGTTCTCCATAAGTTCAACCATTTAGCCCCCTAGCCCTAAGCCCTCTACATCCAAATGTCCCCTTTGAAGAGACCCCATATAACTCCTGTAAGGGGACACTGTTCTAAGTGTTTACACTGTTTAAGCCCTACACCAGGGCAAGATCCAGGACCTCACGATTTGGGCCGCTCAGTGCACATCTATCTGAGAGGCACCTGGCCTTGTAGCAGGCAACGGAAGAAGGTTCCCTAAACCCTAATCCTAAACCGCATCCATGTTGCTGAATGAAACGGAAACTAAGGGTTGTCTACGAGACTCATGTAGGATTTAGCATTCCGGGTTGAGCGTTTGGATGCTGCGTTTTCGGATTTAATGCTGCACATGAAGCCCTAAGATTTTTGGCATTGAGGGCTTAGGATGTAGCATGTCCGGCCAACGTGGGGCATCTAGGAATCTAGGATTCAGCACTTAAAGACCGTTCCTTACAATAGGCTCGTCCAGCTTGGAATCGATCAAGCCACCAAAGCTCTGCTCACGCAAAAAAACCTCGCAAGACCTGTTGGTATGCAGGATTTTGACCATCAATGGATGATAGAATCACAGAAGGGCTGTGCATAGGCGCTTTTCTTCTGCCACGTTGCTGTCACGTTCATGGGACTTGGCTATGGCTTTTCAAGTATTCAGTTGTGTGATTTGACCATTTCCGAGGTCCAAATCCCTGTTCTTACTGGTCCGAGGAGGCCTTAACCGAATTCCACTGTAGGGGCCTCATGCTTTCACACCTAAGTATATGGGTGGTTGTCAAAATTATGATCCTTGTTTAGGTAGCCTAAATATTATGCGCCGTATTATAGTGGGATCCAGAAAGGGACCATAATTTTGACAACCACCCATAAAAAGCACTCCGCACACCCTGTCGAAAGCTCAAGCCAATATACCCCTATATAACCCCTATACACTGTAAACCTCTGGTCTATTATTGTTATTATTGTTAGTATTATTTCTGTTCTTACGATTTCTATGAATATTATTACTGAACGCTTTGAGGCAATGAGCCTTAAACGCCGAAACCCTGTGCTGATGCCTTCCTAAGGTCTGATAACCTGCCCCACCCCAAACAAACATACATCCTGAACCCATATGAGCCATTGTCTAAGCTCCTAGTATGCCCCTTAGTAACCCCTTTAATACTCCCCTATATAATCTCCGATGTAACCCCCTTTAAGGAATTTAGACTATGGCTCATATGCTTGACTGTGACTCTCTGAGCCTGGTCCTCCATGCACTCACGGCTGCACGCTCGCGCGGAACGCTTTGCAGGCAGCCGGAGACATTCCCAGCTTCCTGACTCAAAGGTTCAGAGTCAATAAGATGAGCTAAAAAAAATGGGATAGCACCCAACAATAGAAAATCAAATGGAAAACAACATGGAACATTGAATGGAAATTGGGATTATTAAGAGGACGGGCTCAGCGTATAAAAGTTCCATGATGGGGACTTGAGCTTTTTGGCTTAGGAGCTCGAAGTCAAGTGATTCGGTTTAAGCAAGGATTGCAGCTTGCAGTGCGGAGTGGCACTGGAACCCTACGCTCTACGCCCTCACCGTGAGCCTGCTGCTGACAACGCCTCCCAAACTACTACGCCAGCATCAAACTTTGGAAAATATTTGTGCTTCAGAAATTGACAGTTTGTAGGCCACAGCCAGTAACCCTTGATTGACTATATGCTTTTCTCGTCTTGCGACTTTGCAGTAAGACATACTTGCTAGGAGTCTTCTGACAGACTAACATACGTGCGCGAAGATGAAGCAGCTGGCTCCCTCTTGCCTGAACACTACAACCGAATTCCTAAACCTCTCCTTTTAGAACCTCGCCCTCAGCTCTTTGAAACCCCAAGCTGTGTACCCTAAACTGGGTTGCGTTTAAGGAAGTTAAGCCAAGTTACTGGAATCAGGAAACTTATCGTTTACTAAATATCCCTGTTACGGTACAGCTCAATTTAAGTGCTTCAGCAGCAAACCTAAACCACAAACCCCGGTTTCCATGTCATTTTCCATTTTCTTGTCCATCTGATTCTTCATCATGGGTAGGGGTAATGTCCCTATATAACCCCTAATTTAGGGGTGTCTTAACAGCAACCCAGTAAACTGCCGCTGAGGCTGCCACGCATTGACGGCATCGAAGAGCTCGGAGACTTCCGGGTCGGTCAGGAACTTCCCACATGCGGAGATCATGGCAGCCACTCCATCCTTGAGGGCATTCTATCACTTGCTTACTGGGGCTCAAGAGGGAGTAAGGGAATATCATCCCTATATAATACACTCCCTTAGTCCCTACTATACTCCCAGTAAGGTTGGGGATTTAGATTCCTAAAACTTGGGGCCCGGGTCTTAGGATTTGGTATTCCGTAATTAAGGTTGTCTTAAGTAAGGACTTGAGGCGCGCGTTCCAAAATCAGAGCTTCGAGTTTCGCAATGTAGTCTTGCTCGGGAGCTTCTAATTATGAGCTATAATCAAAACTCCAAGTATCCCCCTTGATAACCGTTATAGTATTCCCCTATGTAATCCCCCAACCCTCTTTGAGGAGTTTAGTTTAGACTATAGCTCATATGTTGGGTCTTCGTCGTGGGAATCCTTTCGCAAGCCTCCACTTATCGCAAGTTTACATGAGGAAACTGAATCTGTTAAATCT